TGAAGAGTACTGGTCAGGTATTTTGTAGAGCGCCCCTCAATTTGGGTTTTTCTGATGTTTTCTCATGATTAGACTGGGGTTATGGGTTTTGAGGAGGAAGACCACAGATGTGAAGTACCACTCTTGACACATCATATCAGGGGGACCTGTTATCAACAAAATTATTTTCCTATTTATCCATCAGTTTCTATATTAAGCTAAATATGGATGCATGTGGTTCATTCTAGCATTCCCTTTCGTATAAGCTCTATTTTTGACCAAGCCTTGTTGTATCTTAACTTTACAAAGACTTTCTCTTCCACCCTGGTCTTTACCTACATAAGGATGGCTAATGTTTAAAGCTTTACAAGCCATGAAAACATTTCCATCTGACCGCAGGCCCAATGGAACATTCACACAGGATGGTCTGTCTTCATCAAGCAACTCACTCAGCTGTGGCCCATTAGCCCACACTGCCATCCACTGGTCCCCTCAGCCTGACCTTGAAACCCTCCCCGTCTCTCAGCCAGCTTTCGCCCTCTTCTCGGCAGCATTTCTGTCCACGGGACTCTGGGGGTTTGAGAAAACTGGGGCATTGTCTCAGGCGCTCTTTGCCTCAATGTTCCACACTGCTTGTGTGCGTATGGTAGTGAGGAAAATTCCAGATACTGCCTCTTTCTCTGATTCCAGATGGGGTCTGAGGGAGGTTCTCTCTACTCCTGATTCTCGAAACTTCTCTGGGGCTTCTAAGCGTCCTGTGCCCCTGAGTTGACCACAGTCCAACCACTGAGACCCAACTAGCATCTTTCTCTGTCACTCTCCTCTCTGCCCGTCTCATCCTGTCCAGGCTGGACACATTTCATCTTATCCAGGGAAAGGAGATGCTGTTTTCTGCGTTGCTTCGTATCTTTCATACATTTAGGATGGGGCCACAGCTTTTGAACCTGCTCCCTTTTCTCCAGGGCTGCGGAGCCAACCCTTCTCTGAAGCGGTGACCGTGTCAGAGCCTGCATGCCAGGGGGCAGGGAGCAGCACGCGTGCATCTCGAGTCGGGGGGCGCCCGTTGGTAAAGGCCTTACGATACTTTTCTGCTTCACTGATCCCTTTGGGTCTGGGAACACCTGTCACCTAAATTTGCTTTGGTGACCTGGAGCGGCAGGAATTAACGTCAGCATATACGCAGTCCATCACGGAAGAGAGAAACTGGATGGTTACGATGGGATTTTAACAAAACAGGTGGGGAGTAAGCACGAAGTGTTGACGGGAGCCAGAAAACCCAGGTTCTGCCCAAACCGTGGCTTGAGGGCTCTGTCCTGTTTGGCTCTTCTCAGAGGGTGCTCGAGAAGGGAGAAGTTGAAGACACCAGAGCAGAAGTGCAGCGGTGAGAGTTCCAGACTCCTCTCCACCACTGCCGCACTCTTGACCTTTGCCTTCACTTTCCTCCTCCCTCAAATAAGGGGGCCCTTCTAGCTCTAAAGCGGTAGTTTTCTTGCAGTGTCTTGGCCCATTATTTGGGAGACATTGACTTCAAGAAACACAGGAATGGGTTGCAACTGATGGAAAGACCCAGGTTTTCAGATAACTGCTCTGCAGACTGGGACCGACTCAAGAAGGGAATTTGCAGAGGACAGTGGGGACCTTGCCTTGTCCCTGTACCTGTGCAGTCAGACACGTCATTGGAAAGAGACAGTCATCATGAAGAAGGGAGCTTCAGTTTGGTTTAGCTGGATCACCAGGTACAGTTGTACAGGTTGTCTGCTGCTCAAGGGTAGTTGGCCATATGGCCAAGTGAGGCTGAAATCCAGCCCTCCCTCCTCTTACCTAGCTCTGTGCCCTGATTTGGGGCTACATCAGCCCATGGGTAGAGGGCCTTTAGCTCACTTTTTCATCCAGAGGGTTGCCATTTTCTAATGGGCACCGTGGCAGCGTATAGACTGGCACTTTAAGCTTTTGTTTGAAAGGAGAAATAATAGTACGAATGGAGAAGAGCTGCTGTGGTTGGGAATGAGCACAATGGGGTAGGTGCAAGTCAGGGCAGGGGGAGGCTAAGAGTGGGAGGGCTCTGAAAGAGTGGGTTAGGGCACCCAGGAGTTAGGGGGAAGGGGAAGGAGGGAGGGGCAGTGGAACTGTGGGACCCGGTGCAGGAGGACCATGAGCTCAACAATACCTGCTACCTGTGGCTGAGTCCTGTGGCCCATCTCACCTTGTCTGCGCTGTCCCTCAGGAGCCCTGCACCTCAATTTCAGCCCAGGATGGGCTCTCCTCAGATGTGGCCTTGTATAGAGGAATCCTCTTGTGCATTTCTTTTTCCAAATTCTTTGCTTAGAAAGTGTTTCTTTTACATGACTCCTTCCACTTTAGTCTTTTCCATATTTTGTATTGATTTTTTTTTTTTTTTTGGTGAGGAAGACTGGCCCTGAGCTAACATCTGTGCCAATCTTCCTCTATTTTGTATGTGGGACACCACCACAGCATGCCTTGATGAGCAGTGTGTAGGTCCATGCCCAGGATCTGAACCCATGAACCCCAGACTGCCAAAGCAGAGCATGTGAACTTAACCACTATGCCACTGGGCTGGCCCCACATGTCGTTTTTTTTTTTTTTGGACAAACAACTGATTCCAGGCACCTGGCATTGTGCTAGGTGGTGCCTTCTCCAGGGCTCCGCAGTATTTCCACATGTGGCACCTCGCCACAGCCTTGATGCAGAGAAGACACCTGATGCCCTATGAGCGCTCTGGGGCTCATCAACTCCAGAGGACACGGGTGTGGCCAGTGCCCTGAGAGTGGTCCTCCTGGCCTACAGTGGGCACAGCTCAGAGATGAGCGAAGTCCACGACAGCAAGAGGAGTGATAATAAGACTAGCTCTGCTCGATGAGTGCTTAATCCGTGCCGGGTACTGTGCTAAGGGTTCCACAAGCATGATTTAATCCTCGAAGCTGCCATATGAGGAAGATACTGTTCCTCTTATCCTTGTTTGAGAGATGAGAACACTGAGGCTCAGAGGGGCTTGTTGGGGACGTGCATGTTGCCTGGTGGGCTCGCCTGACCAGAGTGCTGGTCTCCACTTCAAAATAAAGATCTGTGTCAGCACAGATGGCAAGGGAGAGAACGAGGAAGGAGATGCCCAGGAGCTTTGTGCTCTCCCAGGGCGGGGCAGGGGGAGCAGACATGGCCACTGAGGGCCAGCTTCTGGGCTCAGGCAGAGGGCCAGATCCTCTGGCCACCTTCCACGTGGGACTAAATTCTGGTTGCCAGTGAGTGTCCTGCCCTGGTGTCAATTCCATTTTCATTTTCATCTTTTATGGTTACTGGTTGTGTGGAAAATCCTGTGAAGGCTCATGTGATTTGAACGAGTAGCTCATTTTTGTGAGTTTGCCCAGCATGAGCCCTAGACTGTATGCAAGTATAAGCCAGTGTGCTCCAGGCTTTATAAGACCTCAATCGACTGGTCTCTAATCGGCCAACACTTTGTCACCTGGAAGCCAGGGCATGTGCGTCTGGCTTTTCTAGAAAGGCTGACCAACTCTCCAGCCCAAAGGAGCCTTTCTCAGTCCACTACTGGCAGTCCTTCTTACTTACTTTTTTAAACTCTATTTCTGAGCAAATGTTTTCAAAGGAAACCAAGAGCCTGTGTGGCAAAAGATGAGGTCCTTGAGCTTCCGGTCATGAAGGGTTTTGGTGAGACCATGAAGCCATGGGCTGTGTTCTCTGATGTCACAGGAACCCCTTCTCAAACTGTGCACCAGGCCTTGAATCGCCTGAGGGAACCAGCCATTAGGTCACTTTAGGAATGGCCACCCAAGCCTCTGTGTGTGTGTGTGAAAATGTCACCCCCTCCCCACCCAGTCCCCAATGTAGTTTCCTCCAATTCAAGGGGTGGAAGGCAAGATGAAGCACGTCATATCTCATTCTAAACTATTCCTTTGGCCAGGGGTCAGCAGATGTTCCCTACAAAGTAAATATTTTAGGCTTTGCGAGCCAAGAGGTAAATTGAGGACATAATGTAGATACTTACACAATAAGAGAAAAACAAAGTACACAATTATTTAATTGACAAAATTGTAAATATAATAATGAGTGCAGTTTTTTGTAATATTGTTCTAATAATGGGAAGAATGGAATTCTTTGGGGGGATGATAACATTTTGCCTAACTGGAGTTTAAAGTTGGTCTTCTTTATCATCAGATCGATTGTAAACGTTCATCTGGGAAAGTTATTCTTCAGCCCCCAGGCCGGGCTGGGCCCACACGCTGTGGTTTGCCAAGCCCTGCTCTTGATTACCCCCTTCTGGGGCCCTTTATCCAAGAGTTTAAAATCTGATTCACTTATCAGACCAGACAGTAAATTAAATTTTCCTGCCTCATGAATGCTCATCCATTCACTCACTCATTCATTCAACAAACATTTATTGAGCTTATTCTATGCACCAGCTGCTCGCTGAGGCAGGACACCCAAGAGCAAGAGGCCCTCTCTGCAGCCACAGCCTGGTGGGGGCCCACACCCACCTTGCTACGTGCTATCTTGGATATGTGTGGAACCAAGATGGAGCGATGCGAATGTTATTTAACCCCGTCTGTGAATTACATATCAAAAGATGGGTTTGGGCAGTCTTAAATTGGGTACAAATTTGTGGTCAAATTTAAAAAACAAACACTAAAGTTTTCTAAGGAAAAGGAAAAATCTCCCCATTTCTCTCTCATTTTCCCCAATCCTGCTCTTCAGAACTAACTGCTGTTGACATTTCCATGAGGATCCCTATAGTCACCCCCCCAACCCACCCACGCATACACGCAAATACACAGAAAATCACAAAAATACGCCATATATGTCTGGCTTGGGTTATATTTAAATCATTCCATAAATGACTTTCCTCTGTCCAATTTCAGTTTTGAAATTTTAAAGCACAGTCAATAAATGATTTGGCAATGGTTAAGAAATCACAAGTTCCCGTCTTCCCACATAAACTTCTGCAAACAGTACGCTAGGTTCTGCTGATGATAAAGCAACCCATTTCAGGAAGTTAGTCAGTTTCTTTTTCCGTGTGCACCTGCTGCACAGGGTACCACGGCACAGCGCTGCAGGTCATGGCATGAGAAATAAGCAGAGGCGACAACAGAAAAGCGGTAAGCTGCTTCTATCCTTTTAACAAAGCTTTCCCACCAAGTCGGTGATTTCTGACTCCAGAATACAGTTTGGAGGCAAATGGTGTGAACAAAGAAAGTGACAAACGGCCAAGTAAGTATGGAAGGTTAAGTATTGAGACAGCTTTAACGGTAGGCAGAGTGGTCTGGTAGGCAGTAAATTTTGAAAATCAAAGACAGTGGTCGTATTAATTTGAACAGGAAAACAAGAAAATTCCAAGTTAAGACTTGAACTGGAATATTACTTTCTGGTCCTGCCAGAAGCAGTATTCTCTTCTCGAACCAAAGGGTGGGAGGTGAAGCGGATGGGGAAGTGTTTTTACTTTGCTCTTTCTAAAGAAAAGGACAAACTCTGCCCTCACGTCCATAGGTCACTCACTAGCGGGTAGGCAAAGCCTGCTACTTTTCTTGTTCAGAGTTTTTAAGAAAACATGTTACTATTTCTGTGATGATATTCTACAGCGTTTAGACATAGAAGATGGTCAGTCTTTCCAAGAACTGTCAGATTGAAAAACAAACTTTATAACTTTTTTAAATGATATATTTTCTAGAAAATTCAATGAGCTCTAAGAACAACTGAAAAGCCTGATTTCACGAGAATCTCATCCAAAATTTACCTTATGTTTTTTCCACACTCATTTAGTGCTTATTAAAGTTCTTGTAATCATTTTTTTGCAACCATTTAATGTATATTTAAGTTTTTAAGTTAATTTTTACATCAATTTAATGCCTGTTATACATCTTGAAAGTAAAGTAATTCTGCACTGAAACTATGATGCTTTATAAAACGGCTACGATGACTCATAAGGAATTGACTCAACAGGGCCAATGACGTATATGGAATTGCAATTGAAGTTATCCAACTTCTACTTGATGTTTGTTAACTGCTGTGATAGCCAATATAATTATATTGCAAGAAGGTAAAAAGTGGAATAATAATAAAATCAAACCAAACTGGGAAAAATGCCCCCCCCCCCCATTGGTGGTGGGTGGAGGTCAAGGACCTAGCTGACTCGTGGCCTCAGAGCGGAGGTTCCTAGCCTTGACTACGTATTAGAATCTCAGGGGAGCTTTAAAAAGTCCTACTGCCCAGGCTGAACCCCAGAGCAATGAAATCAGAATCCCTAGGGGCGGGCCTGGGCATTTGCAACTTTTCAGCTTCCCAGGCATCTCCACGTGCAGCCAAGAGTGAGAACCACCGCCCTAGAGGCACACCGGAACAGCTCCTTTGGTCCTTTCACTAAAGAGCACAGTCCTTTTTTAGGGGGTGACAAGGCTCCGGGAAGACCTGAAACGTATTCATTAGCCCCTTGGTTTGATTTCAGAAAACAAAAGAAAAGTTTCCAGTATGGCTTATCTGAAAAGCCGAGGCTGTGGATGACAGTGAGGGCAGTCAATGAAGTTCATTCTCCTCCTTTGACCATTGCTCCTCATCCCTTCATGGAACAATCCTGAAAATGGCACGGGGGTTTAGGAGAGAGAAGGCAGTCTCATGGAAACCCCAGACTTATGGGGTATCAGGGCGTGTCTGGTAGGGGACGATGTCCTTACCCAGGGTCAGTCTTTGAAACTCAGTTGGATATTATTTGTAAGTGCGTCTTAGTGTCCCCTCCAGGGTCTGTTGAAGGGAATGTCATTCCAATGGAATGTCTTTTGAGTTCAGCTGAGTTATTAATCATAGTTGAGGGACTTGTTATTTTTTAAACTATTATCTCCAATTTATGACTATTCAGGACTATAAAGACACAGTAAATTTAAGCGCATAACCCATGGTTCTGGTTTGTCATTAGCAAGTACAGGCTGTGTTGACTTTTCAGGTGGTTACAAAGAGCTGCTAGTTGGTGCATATGTCTAAAATCCGTGGATTTCCACTTGTTCTATGGAATGACAGAGAATCTGGAAGTGCTCTGTGGTAGACTGGTCAGTGCAGAAAGGTAAAGTGGATAATCCACCCCCGGCATTTGAATCCCGAAGGTCCCAGGTATGGCTATGGTGTCTCTGCCGATAATCAAAACCAGATTATTGCTGACCAGCCCCTTGGTTCCAGCCCTACCAATTTGTTAACTACTCAGGTACACGTAGGCTCAGTTTCAGCTCTACCACCTACCATCTGGGTGACCGTGAGTAAATTAGCCTCTCTGAGCCTCAGGTTGCACATCTATAAAATGGGGGCTTATGACAGCACCCACCTCACTGATTTTTATGAGGATTAAACGAGAAAACGCATGACTTGCACTCACCCCAATGTTGCCTCATGCTGAAGCACTCAACAGATGCTCCCTGCCATATTTCCCAGAATTCAAATAGCATAATTTTTCATATTTTTGTGTATACGAAATCAGGATCCATCTCTTTGTTGACAGGTGCGTTTAATGTGGTAGTGGATTCTTTATTTTTTTTAATTTTTTTTTTAAGATTTTTAATTTTTTCCTTTTTCTCCCCAGAGCCCCCCGGTACATAGTTGTATATTATTCGTTGTGGGTCCTTCTAGTTGTGGCATGTGGGACGCTGCCTCAGCGTGGTCTGATGAGCAGTGCGTGTCCGCGCCCAGGATTCGAACCAACGAAACACTGGGCCGCCTGCAGCGGAGCGCGCGAACTTAACCACTCGGCCACAGGGCCAGCCCCGGTAGTGGATTCTTTTGTTTTCTAAAGCGGTTAGTGAATCCATCGAATTTGGAATGCATAAAATAAAGTATCTATTATTGATCGTAAATTTCACCTAAGGTGACAAATCCTATCCGCACCACCATTTCTTTATTAATTTACTTTTGTAACTTATCAGTGGTCAACACAGTCAACTGCAAAAGAATTAGAAACCATTAAAAATCATAAATCTTTCCAGTTTGGCAAAAACTTCAGTTCTATTTGAACCCCACATCATGCCCAAACTGCTCGGTATTCAACTGGGGGGATTAATGCCATCCTATATCAATAGGTTCTCTTGCCACTTTCCGGTGAGGGGCACCAGCAGCACTCGCTCGGAGAAAGGGGCAGGCTAGGGCGACGGTCTGAGGCAAATCCCGCGTCAGTGAAAGAAGGCTTTGAAGAGGAGAAGGAAGGAGGCATCATTGCAAAATCACTCTTTGCAGCCTAGGAGAGGGCTGTGAAAAGATCCAAAGCTGTTGATTCCAGGAAGGCAGGTTTAGGCACCTCACAGACCACCTTCACCCTAGATTGTGTGGGGAAACCTGCGCCATTTATTTGAGCATCGCCTGGCGCCCGTCCAGTCGCTGTCCTGCCTGCAGCCCTCACCCTGCGGCTGGGTTCTGGGAGGCTCACTCTGACTCCCAGTGTTCCTCAGCTAAGGCAGGCTTTTCTGAGCTGTTCTTCCAACTGCACTGGGCTTTTAAAATTGTGTTTTTGGGGTCCACTGGGGTCCAGGTTGAGAAGGAAGCTTTGGGCAAGGACTGAGATAGGTTGTTTTCATTGTGTTGTTTGGTTCCTTCAGAACCCAAAGGAGAGAAGTGGCTTATCGTGGACCCAACCAAAGAAGTGATTATGCCTGGAAAATAGGAAAACAGTTGTGAAATCACTTCCCCAGTAGCTAGCGACGGTTGTATTTGTCAGGGAGACGCAAGTTAAACAGACTTCTTTTGTGTGTGTGATTCATATGCTTTCTTTAAAATGGGTCCTGATTTTTTTTTTCTGAGTCTTACAAGGCAACACCCAGTGACAGATCCAGACCACACAGACCCTGTCATCCCCATCAGCGCGTTCTATGCCGTGAGCTCACTGGCATGTCCAGACAAAGGGAATTTTCTGGCAGCTGGAATTTGTCTCAGCAGTGGGGTCCACCGAACAACTCTTAATCTTCCTGCTCTCTGCCCTTACTCTCTCTATTCGTTTCCCGTGGCTGCCATAACAGAGTACCACAAACTCGATGGCTCGAAACAATAGAAATTCATCCTCTCACAGTTCTGGAGGCCAGAAGTCCAAAGTCAAGTTGTTATCAACAGGGCTGGCTCCTTCTTGGGGGCTCAGAGGGAAAATCTGTCCCATGCTTCTCTCCTAGCTTCTGATAGTGGCTGGCAATCGTTGGCTTGTCTGCGTCACTCCAATCTCTGCCTCCATCTTCACATGGTCTTCTTTCCTGTGTGTATCTGTCTCCAAACTTCCCACTTCTTAGAAGGTTATCAGTCATTGGATCAGGACCCACCCTAATCCAGTATGACCTCGTCTTAACTTGATTCCATTTGCAAAGACCGTATTTCCAAATAAGGTCAAATTCACATGTACAAAGGTTAGAACTTCAACACCTGTTTTGGGGGACACAGTTCAAACTGTGACACTCTCCTTTAGTGATCCTCTTTTCTACCACTTCCACTCAATCCTAGTCCTTCACTTCATTAGCTCCCAATCTAATACTTATCTTACTTCCAGTAGGTATCTCCTACTTACCTTAACTAGTCTCCGAGGGCCTGCTCTGAGCCCCAATATACCATCACTGACAACCAGGGCCACTTCCTTTAGGACCAGAAGGTACAGGGCCTAGGGCCCATGATACTTTAAGCAAATGTTTTATTTTCTTTAAAATCAGGAAAATAATGAATATAATCCAGCCTGGATTATATTTGTTTTTATGCCAATGCAGTCATAAAATATAATTTTTACTATTTTTTTAATGGAGGAAGGGGCCCATGAAAGCCAAGGTGCCTGGGGCCCATGAAAGTCCTTGCTTGGCCCTGTTGACAGCCACATTCTATTTTCTGATTTAGCAGATATGCCAAGGAAAATTCTGGAATTGCTGTGTCCCCAAGGAAAGAGATTTAAGTATTGATCCACAGTCCTTCATCTGAAACCTGTGGGCCAGAATTGTGTCAAAGTTAAGAATTCAAATTTCATAAGAAAGTACGGCAAGACAATATCACATATATGATATATTATAAAACACTTCTGGTGGGTCTGGGGTAGCGCCTGTTATCAAGCACATGGCTGTTTCTGATGAGGATTTTTAGGCTGCTTAATTTTAAAACGGTTTATGATGAGGATTTTTAGGCTGGTTAATTTTAAAACTACAGATGAGAAGCAGGCTCCGAGGAGTGGAATTTGCTTGCCCCTTTGTTGGGAAACATTTACATTTCTAAGGGAAACCTCTATCTGTAAAGATGCCTCCCTCTCTGTGCCAGGAAGAAGGGGGATGGCCTTATCTCTAGAAACTCTTAATGCCAGAGGCAAGAACTTAAGTTGGTTGCTGTCTGGCAATCTCACGTAACTGATTTAGGGTGGTGGCTTCTGACCTTTACTTAATCCGATTTGATTCTTGTCTAAAAGTCATGGGATCACCCAATGACCAGACCCCACCTGCACTGAAACCATTTTAACTTTTTTCATGTTCTTTCCTTTGTCTTGTAAAGAGATGACTCACATACCCATGCCTTAAATTTAGCTCTAACCCTCAACTCAGGGCAGCAGCGGCTCCTCCTGCCCGTGGGCCCTGTCCCCACGCAGCAGCCCGACTGCCCATGGGTCCTGTCCCCATGCTATTCCACACTATACTCTAAATAAAAGAGCACTACTGCCAGATCTTGAGAGTCCAAGAAATCTTTCTTTCGACTCCTCGGCTTACCGACCCCGCATCATTTCCACCGTGAAACAAGACTGCTCACGCTAAATGGATAAATGAGGATTATCACAGCCTTAGGGTGGTTCAGATCAGGTTTTGCTGCCACATAAATTACAAAAGACAAAACGAAATCTTCTGGTGTTCAAATCTTTTAGGATTTCAGAATTGCAGAGAGGGGATTGAGAATCTGTGCGAGACAGGAGCTGTATCAAGAAAAGAAACTATTGGGGGCCGGCCCTGTTGCCAAGTGGTTAAGTTCGCACGCTCCACTTCGGTGGCCCAGGGTTTTGCCGGTTCAGATCCTGGGCGCGGACATGGCACCACTCATCAGGCCATGCTGAGGCGGCGTCCCACATGCCACAACTAGAAGGACCCACAACTAATAATATACAACTATGTACTGGGGGTATTTGGGGAGAAAGAGCAGAAAAAAAAAAAGATTGGCAACAGTTGTTAGCTCAGGCGCCAATCTTTAAAAAAAAAACAAAACAAAAAACCATAAACCACTGTCCTGGGTGCCAGAATTGATTCTACCAATTGCTGTGTCTCTGATTTTGTTTTTTTCTTTTGTTTGTGTAGATCTCTCCTTCACGCCGAGTGAATTCCCAGGTGACTGGTGCTGGCTGTTAATTCATACTCGAGAGTGGGCCAGCAAAGAGCTGAATAGAATTAATCCAATTGCAAGGACAGGGCTTCCCAACGAATGAGTCTCAGCCCAGGAGGAGTGGGTGTGAGTGGCTTTTGGGTAGGGTGGGCCACTGTAATCGTAGATTTTTTCTATGGTTCAGGACCAAGGCTAGGGTGAGGAATGTGAAGCACTCGCTTTAGGTGCAAAATTTAAGGGAGGGAGGGTACCGAAAAGTTCAGTAATCAAGAGAAATAATACTTTAATGTTATGTTTTAAAAAATCAAATTGGCGAACTCCGTCCTGCAGGCTGGTTGCCTGTTTCAGTAAACCAAATTTTATCGGAACCCACAGAGGCGGGATGAGGGCCAAGCAGGTAAAGCAGGGCCTCGCAAGTGCAGGGCCAGATTCTGCCTTCATTGAAAATGTTGATATTTTAAAATCAAAGATTTTAATTTCTTTTAAATAGTATTCATCTCGATGACTACGTTTTTGGGTGTCCCCTTAAATTTTGTACTCGTGGCCTTGCTACCGTGCCTGTTTTCCCAGCGAAGCCCTCCAACCTCCTGCCTGGGGCGCTGGAGTGGGAGGTCCACAAGCCAGCAGCTGTCAGCATCCCCAGAGCTGGGGGAGAGAAGAGCCTTGGGCTCCCTGCTCCGGATCCAGACTTCTGTAACCCTCATGTTTTCTCTTTGGCAGTTCGCCCTGCCTTCACGTGTGCCTGGAGGCCGGAAGCCAAGGCTCTCGGATTCAACCTTTCGAGATTGTAAGTCTCAGGGAGGGGATCAGGAGGGGTCTAACTTCTCACGCAGACTCTCAACCAACCCACCGTGCAGCCCTGCCCGGCAAGCCCTGTGCCACGACTGCTGCCTGCAGGTCCTGCGTCTTTCCGGGCTACTGTGATGGGCATTGACTTCGCCCGGGCCGGCCCTTAGGCTTCAGCCTCTGCGCTCTGCTCTGCCACTTACTGTGTATCCACCTGCTCGCCATCTTCCTCAACTTCCTACACATTCCTTGTCTGCAGTGGTCTCTTCTTATCCCTTCTCTGACCTTGTGGGGTCCCAGTCCTTTACTATCACTTTAATGGGGGCCTTCAATTGTCAAGCTCAAACAGAAGTGTCCTTTGCTCTCTCTCGCTCTCACTCTCTCAGGTTCTCTGTTTTATTTGCATAGTTGCACTTTCTGTCTTATTTGCATGACTGCCCTTTTTTTCCTCTATTTTATTTGCAAAGTTGCCATTTCTCTCTCTCTATTTTTTGGGCATGGTTGCCATTTCTTGTCTGCCAGGCTGGATGGTTTTCATCTATTGGTTAGCCCTTAAGGAGGGTGAATTCTCCCTGGTGCCCCTCTCACTTGTCTTGGATCTGGGTCTCATTGATATCCTCTTGGGGGACACCTTTTGGGAGCCAGAGGCACGGGTGCAGCCTAGAGGAAGAAGTCGGCAGGGAGCTGCAGCTGTTGCTGGCCCTTAGGCTCTGCTCTCTCTCCTCAGATCCAGCTGGACCCGTGAGCAAGGAGTCACTCGATGAATGACGAGCCTTCACATTCGGTGAGGCCCTGAGGTGGGTACAGAGGCTTGAACAGGGTTTCTCCTCAACTTCTTTGCTAGCTGCCTGCTCACCACACCCACTCTTCCCGCCTGTGTACTTGTCTTCTAATTGAGGCTTTTTGGAACCTGTCAACTCCTGTTCTTACCTCAGGACTCTTTTGGAGAGTGGAGTTAGGAACCTCAGGCTCTTCACTCACAAACCCTCTCCAGAATATTCTGATTATTTCCATGACCCAACGTTTACTTTAAGTTGTCCCAGACTCTGGGAGGCCATTTTATCCTGTAAAAATGGAGGATTTCAAAAGCTTCCTCTCCTGGTCTCTAGCTCCCCCTAGAGGCTTTCTCCTCAATTGGCCAGCCTTGTAGGAGAGAGACTTGCATCTGAAACTAGGCGTTGAGGCCTTAACTTGAGGCTGGTGAGGCCACACAGGACAGTCTGGCCTTCTGGACCCGCCCAAGTAACCACCTGAAAATGTCTCACTGACCAACAGTGCTCTGTTTACTGCTCAAAGGGAAGAGCCTGCAATCCGGCCTCGCCCTGCCATCCGTTCCCCATGGGCCCTTTCAAAATTAATTTTTTATTAATCTATAATTAAAAATTATAATAGGAAGCTGACAAGTGCTACCTTAGCCAGGTGATCAAGGTCCAATCAACAGTGAAAGTCACATTGCTAGTATGTGCCCTTGGTGTGATGTGACTAGAATGGCACTTTTCCACTTTAGAATGGCCTTTCTCCCCCAAACCATTACCCCAGTCTGATCACGACATCAGACAATCCCAACAGAGGGACAGTCTGCATAACCACCTCTTTCCCGTCTTTCTTTTTCTCCAGAGTACTTTCCACCATCTAACGTACGACCTTGTAATATAAGCTCCAAATGGGCAGATATTTTAATCTATTTTGTTCATTATTATATCTCCAGCTTGAAAACAGTCCCTGAAATAAAGTATATGCTTAATAAATATTTTTTCAATGAATGAATAAATGAATATAGAGCTGCCACCTCCTTTTTAATTGCTGCATAGTATTCCATTATATGAATATGACACAATTTATTTAACCAGACCACTGCTCATAGGCTTTAGCTTTTTTCCAATCTTTTGCTTTTGCTAACAGCCCTTCATTGAACATCCTTGCCTATAGTCATTTACATGCATAAGGGTCAATTGTTAGGATCTACTAGAATTGAAATTGCTGAGTCTAAGTTTATGCTTCCAATTTTGATAGATATTAAAAATTGCTGTCTTAGAGGTGGCACTAATTTAGACTCCTCCCAGCAAAATATGAGAGCATCTGCTTTGCTACATCCTCACCTACACAATAGAATGAGTGAAAAATGATATCTCAGTGTAATTGTTTGAGTAAAGTTGAGTATCTTCCCATGTTTAAGAACTATTTGTGTTTCTTTTTTCTGTGAACTGTCTGTTAATATATTTTTGTCTATTTTTCTATTGGGTTATTTATCTTCTCACTTATGCTTACAAAGCCTTTACATATCAAATATATTACTCCCTTATCTGTGATACGAACTATAAGCATCTTCTCTTAATTTATCATTTCACTTTTGGCATTGTTTACCATATTTTTTGTGAGGCAGAATTTTTATTTGTGTGTAGTTTAATTGGTCAGTCTTTGCCTTTTTTGACCTCTGCTCTGTTATTTTTTCATTGTTCTAGAGTAACTAGACAATGTAATCAGACAATAAAAAGAAATTTGACTGCATAAAGGGTGATAGGAAGATCATCATTATTTGTAGATGGCTTAACTGCTTACCCAAGAAAGTCACATGGAAAAACAACTATTCTAAATAATCAGAGAATTTAGTATATTGGTTTGGTATAAAATGAATATATAGAAATCGTAGTCTTTGTGTGCACCAGCAAGGAAGTGTACACCAGAAGGTAAGATAGAAGTGACCCATTCACAAAAAAAGAATAATGATCAGAACTTACCTTATCAGATACTAACATACCTGAAAGCTGTACTTGTTAAAACTTGTGGTAGCAGCACATGAATGATGAATAGATTGGTGAAGCAGAATAGAGAGCCTAGAAATACATCCAAACAGGAAAGTTAGTATATGATAAAGGAAGCATATCAAATTGGTGAGAAAAGCAATATTCAAATAAATGGTGTTGGGGAAACTGGGTCTCCATTTAGAAAAAAATTATGTGGGTCTACACCTCACATTTTATGCCAAAACAATTTCAGCGGGATAAGATCTTTCAATGTAAGAAAATGAAATCATAAAATTACTAGAAAAAAAGATGTGAAAATTGTTGTTGATAGAACTGAGTGTGGAAGATCCTTTATGGCTTACACTGCCCCAGATGATCTCATTCACACCCATGGCTGTACTAGCCCTGACTCTCAAATTCATCCCTCTATCAGAACTCTCCTCCGAGCCTAAGATGCACACATGTAACTGCTTACTGGACATCTCCACTGGAAGATGACAAACTCAACTCAAGTGCAACATGTCAAATTTAATTAATCATATTCTCTTCCTCCTCCTCCTCTGGCCCCAAATGATCTTCTTCCTCAGTGAATGGCACTATTATCCATCCAGTTGCACAGACCAGGAACCTGGAAGTCACCTTGAATTTTTCCCTCTCTCTCACAATCCCCTCCATTATACTTCTATTGCTGTGTCTCCCAATTTTACCTCCTTAGTATCTCTTGAATTCATTTCTTTCTATCTCCATTGCCACCAACTTAGTTCAAGCTACCATTATCTTGCTCCTGAAGTTCTGTGCCCTCTTGCCAGTGACTACTATGGAATCAGTGAGCGTGGTACCACTCTGCTTAAAACTTTCAAAGGCTTGCATTGCTCCTCAGATAGAGATCAAAATCCACTCTCGTCTTTTCTCTGGCTTTCCTTTAGTTCCTTACATTTACATGCTCATTAAGATGAGGACTGAAAAATGCCCATTGAATGTGGTGCTGTGGAGATACTGAGGACCTCAGCAACATTTCTGTTCTTCATCTCGTATGTGCCATTCCATTCCTCTTGGCCCTGCCTCTTATTCTGGGTCCTACCATTGCAAGCAGTTCTCTGCAGGTTTCAACCAGCTTTGAGGACTTGAAACCTGATGTGCTTTGTCTCAGGCCCACACTATGCCCTTCTTGATTCCTATCCAGGGCTCCTCTGAAAGCACAGCATGGGAAATTAGAAGGAATACACTTAAGACCATTGCATATGCTGGACCATTCTTTTGACCTCTTTGTGCCTTATACATGCCCACTCAACCTTAGCTCAATCACAGCTCAAATTTCACTTCTTTAGGGAAATCTTTCCCAGCCTCCATGAATAGGTCAAGTCCTCCTCTTTTTGGCTCTTATAATTCACATGCTTCTTTGTGTCACAGTGGAAATTTTATCATGTTGTTGTGTTTAACTCACCAGACTGTGCACCAACTAATAAGCTGTGCGCATAGTCAGATCGACTCCTCAGTCCACCCACTGGCTAGGAAAGGGCAGGGAAGATTCAGGAAGTGACTTCTAGATCTAACAATGTTCACACTTGGGAATTACACGGGTTTTGATCTGCTTAGGTGCTGAGCAAATATAACATTGTCTGGGTCATCTCCCAAAGTTCCTTGTGTCCCCAAGCTTCATTAACCCCTTGGTGCACCTGTATCTCCAGCGGAGATGGTGAGCCTGGAGACCTGCGGTGGCCTCTGCAAGAGCTGCATGTTTTCAGGCCATGAAGCATCTTTTCACACACATTTTCTAGACATATTAGTTTTCTACTGCTGCATAACAAATAACCCCCAAAGTTAGAGGCTTCAAACAATACACATTTATTGGATTAAATTTCTGTAGCTTAGCATCTGGATGGGCTTGCCTGGATTCTCTGCTCTAGGTCTCATAAGGCTGAAATCAATGTGTTGGCCAAGCTGGACTCTTACATCAAGTTTCTGGCTAAGGACCCATTTCCAAGTTCCTTCAGATTGTGAGTTAATTTTAGTTCTCTGTGGCTGTAGGATCAGGGCCTCCATTTCCTTGCTAGCTGTCAGCAGGGAGCCACTCTCAGCTTCTAAAGGCTGCCTGCATTCCTCGTCAGAGGCCCCCTCCATATTCGTCTGCAATAGTGCATCAAATTCTTGTCCTGCTTCCAATCTCTCTGACTCTCCCTTCTGCAACAGCCAGAGAAAACTCTCTGCTTTTTAAGGCACATATGTTAGATTAGGCCCATCTAGATAATCTCCCTTTTGCCACATAATGTAACATAATTGCAGGAGTAATACCAGGGGGCAATGGTCATAAGGGCCATCTTAAATTTCTGCCTACCACACCAGGTAAAGCAGGGCTTTCTTTCAGCAAAAGTCAAACATTAAGCAGCAGCTCCTAGATAGTGTTGTATTTCAAAACAACTAAAAGTAACTGAAAATGCCTAGGAGTTCTGCTCCGTTTTAATTTTCATCTCAGAAGGATCTGGCTTTTCCTTGGCTTTTGTAAATGGGCAATAATTATTGATCCTCAGAATAATCAACATCTATATAAAAATATTTTCTAATATAGTAAGGGTATGAGAGTGACGGTTAGTTCATTAACCCTAAATTTTAGGAGAATGTAAGAAGGCACTTAACCTGGTTCAACTCACAATAAGGACATGAGTTGGGCTTTAGTGAAAAATCTAGTTTAGTAAAGGCTGGTCTGCATACCCAGCGAAATAAGATTTTGAGAGCTCTTTTGACCACAACCCTTGATCAAACCAATGACATTAATCTGTTTATTTCATTGTATAATTATGAAAAGCAATATATTCAGCCTTCTATTAAGAAAGAGTCAAAGAAAGTGAGGCACTCTGCTAAGTGTTGCAGAGAATGCATAGAAATATAAAACATCATGTCTTCCCTACAGAAGTTGACAGGACGAGCCAGTCTTTGGAATAGCTGTTACTGCCAATGTTTGTATGGTAAGAGGCATATGAATAGTAGCCATTCCATACAAAAACTTTTGAGTGCCGTCCACTTTTGAGGCACTGTTCAGGCATGAAGATTTCAAATGAGAGTGTGTAGCATGATGGTAGCGGTTAAAAACATGGTATTGGAATCAGATTGACTCAAGTCCCAGCTCTACAACATATCATTCTTCTGAAAGTTACTTAAGTCTCTGAGTTTGTTTCTTTACTTACAAAATATGGATAATAATGAGAACCTATCTCATTGTGCTGCTGTGAGCATTACCAGGGGTGAGAAAATATTTATATTTGGCACAATGCCCGACACTTTGTTTGTTTTGATTATCAACAGAAGATGTCCATTTTCCTGTCATGCAAGGAGATAAGAGAACTTGATACATACTACCATAGAGGTATAGAAAAATTGTGGTAAATGCCAATAAGAGATATGGTTATGTAGATGAGGTAGAGATGACTCTGGCTTGGAGATCTTGGATGATACCACAATAGAAGCTGGGTCTGAACTCTCCTTGGGACTGGCCAAAGTTTCATCAAGAGTTATGCTAATAAGTTGAAGCTACAGATGTACAGCTTGCGGTGCTATAGATCTAAGTGTGAACCACAGCCATGATCCAGTATCACACCCATTATGGGGTGGGGCATCTTGATTAATGCCTCTGCAAAAGCTTCCCAGGTTTTCTCATCATCATGATCTCAGACAGCTTCATCTTCAACTTCTTTTAGCACTGTGAAGCTGAACACAGTGAAAAACTAAAATTGTTCTGAACCTAATTTAATGCAATCTATTTAATTGTTAAGAGAATTAACACTTCAAAACTCATAAAAAGTATGGTGAAGCACTGTTAATTTCATCATGAAATGCCTGGCAAATATTGTTACTCTAATACTGTGCCTCCACTTTTGATTTTCCTTAGGAAAACATGATCCTTCAGCCTTTGCTTCTGACCTGCCTTTTCCTGATAATCTCTGATTCCTGTGAGTTCTTCACTGAAACAAATTATTCTAGAAGCTATCCTTGTGATGAGAAAAGGGAAAATGTTTCTGTCATTGCAGAGTGCAACGATCGCCGACTGGAAGAAGTTCCCCAAACAGTGGGCAAGTACGTGACAGAACTAGACCTATCTGATAATTTCATCATCCACATAACAAATGAATCATTTCAAGGGCTGCAAAATCTTACTAAAATAAATCTAAACCACAATGGCAAGGCACGGTCCCAGAATGAAAATCCTGACGTAAATAAAAATGGCATGAATATTACAGATGGGGCATTCCTCAACCTACAAAACCTAAGAGAGTTACTGCTTGAAGACAACCAGTTAGACAAAATACCCACTGGTTTGCCAGGGTCTTTAAGAGAACTTAGTCTAATTCAAAACAGAATAACTTCTGTAACTAAAAAGAATACTTCTGGACTTATGAATTTGGAATATCTCTATTTGGGCTGGAACTGCTATTTTGGCAACATTTGCAATAAAACTTTTGACATAGAAGACGGAACATTTGAAAGGCTTACAAACTTGAAGGTGCTATCATTATCTTTTAACAACCTTTCTCATGTGCCACCCAAACTGCCAAACTCCTTGAGAGAGCTTTATCTTAGCAACACCAAGATCAAAAACATCACCCAAGAAGACTTCAAGGAATTGAGAAATTTGACAGTACTGGATCTAAGCGGGAACTGTCCAAGGTGCTTCAATGCACCATTTCCCTGTACACCTTGTGAAAGAGACTCTTCGATTCAGATACATCCTCTTGCTTTTCAAGACCTGACCGAACTTCGCTACCTAAACCTCTCTAGCACTTCCCTCAGGAAGGTTCCTGCAATCTGGTTTGACAATATGCACCATCTGAAGGTGCTGCATCTTGAATTCAATTATTTAGTGCAGGAAATAGCGTCTGGGGAATTTTTAACGAAACTGCCCTCCTTAGAAATACTTGACTTATCTTTTAACTATATAGTGACGAAATATCCAAAATATATTGAAATTTCCCCGAACTTCTCTAATCTTACGTCTCTCCAGATATTGCACTTAAGAGGTTATGTGTTTCAGGAAGTTAGAAAAGAACATTTCCGGCCCTTGATGAGTCTCTCAAATTTAAAGACTATCAACTTGGGCGTTAACTTTATTAAGCAAATTGATTTTACCTTTTTCCAACATTTCCCCAATCTGACAGTCATTTACTTGTCAGAAAACAGAATATCGCCCTTGGTAAACGATAGCCTGCAAAATTATACAAATGGCTCCGCTTTCCAAAGTCATATCCTTAAGCGACGTTCAGCAGATTTTGAGTTTAACCCACATTCAAATTTTTATCATAACACCAATCCTTTAATAAAGCCACAGTGTACAGCTTATGGCAAAGCCTTAGATTTAAGCTTGAATAGTATTTTCTTTATTGGGCAAAAGCAGTTTAAAGCTTTTCATGACATTGCCTGCTTAAATCTGTCTTCCAATGGCATTGGTCAACCGTTGCATGGAACTGAATTTTCAGCTGTACCGCATATCAAATATTTGGATTTGACAAACAATAGAATAGACTTTGATGATGATAATGCTCTCAGAGAATTGCCTGAGTTAGAAGTTCTAGATTTCAGCTACAATGCACACTATTTCCGAATAGCAGGGGTAACGCATCGTCTAGGATTTATTCAAAATTTAACACAGCTAAGAGTTTTGAACTTGAGCCACAACAGCATTTACACTTTAACAGAGTACAATATGAATAGTATGTCTCTGGAAGAATTAGTTTTCAGTGGAAACCGCCTTGACCTTTTGTGGAATGCTGAAGACAGAAGGTACAGGAAAATTTTTAAATGTCTCAGGAATCTGACACGGCTTGATTTATCCTTTAATAACCTCCAGCATATCCCAGATGAAGCATTCCTTAACTTGCCCCAGAATCTCACCGAACTGTATATAAATGACAATAGATTACATTTCTTTAACTGGACATTACTCCAACATTTTCCTCATCTCCACTTGCTTGACCTAAGTAGAAACAAACTCTCCTCTTTAACTAATAACCTATCTAAATTCTCACCTTCTCTTCGGACACTGCTACTGAGTCAAAACAAGATTTCCCACCTGCCTTCTGGCTTCTTCTCCGAAGCTAGCGGTCTGATACACCTCGATTTACGTTTCAACAGGCTAAAGATGATCAACAAAACCACGCTTCAAACTAAGACCACCATCAATTTAGCCGTTTTGGAACTTGGTGGAAACCCTTTTGACTGTACCTGTGACATTGGAGATTTTCGGAGATGGATGGATGAAAATCTGAATATCGCAATTCCTAGATTGGCAGATGTCATCTGTGCCAGTCCTGGGGATCAAAGGGGGAAGAGTATTGTGAGTTTAGAGCTAACGACGTGTGTTTCAGATGCCATTGCCGCAATATTATGCTTCTTCACGTTCTTCATCACTGTCACAGTTATGTTGGCTGCCCTAGCTCACCATTGGTTTTACTGGGATGTTTGGTTTATCTATCACATGTGTTTAGCTAAGATAAAAGGCTACAGGTCTCTTTCCACATCCCAAACTTTCTACGATGCTTACGTTTCTTATGACACCAAAGACGCCTCTGTTACGGACTGGGTGATAAATGAGCTGCGCTTCCACCTAGAAGAGAGTGAAGAAAAAAACGTGCTCCTCTGTTTAGAGGAGAGGGATTGGGACCCGGGATTAGCCATCATCGATAACCTCATGCAGAGCATAAACCAAAGCAAGAAGACAATATTTGTTTTAACCAAAAAATATGCAAAGAACTGGAACTTTAAAACAGCATTCTACTTGGCCTTGCAGAGGCTAATGGATGAGAATATGGATGTGATTGTATTTATTCTGCTGGAGCCAGTGTTACAGCATTCCCAGTATTTGCGGCTGCGGCAGAGGATCTGCAAGAGCTCCATCCTCCAGTGGCCTGACAACCCCAAGGCAGAGGGCTTGTTTTGGCAAAGTCTGAAAAATGTGGTCTTAACTGAAAATAATTCACGGTATAACAATTTGTATGTTGATTCCATTAAGCAATACTAACTGATGTTAAGTCATGGTTCACCAACATAAAAATGCAAAGCAATTAAATTACCCTTCTGTCTTAGTTATCTATTGCTGTGTAACAAGTTACCCCAAAACTTAGCTGCTTAAAACAACACAATTTGTGATCTCACAGTCTCTGTGAGTCAGGAGTCCAGGCATGGCTGAGCTGGGTCCTCTGCTCAGGGTCTCTGAAAGGCTGTGATCAAGGTGCCAGCCACAGGCATCTCCTGGGGTTAGGATCTATTTCCCAGCTCACACTCATGTGGTTGTTTTCAGGAGTCTGTTCCTCCTGGGCTGTTGGCCAAAGGCTGCCCTCAGTTCCCAGCCACATGGATCTCTCCCACATGGCAGCTTGCTTCGTCAAAGCCAGCAAGAGAAAGAGGTTGCTAGCAAGACGGAAGTCATCATCTTTTGTAATCTAATCAGGGAACTGATATCCCATCGCTTTGGCCATATTCTATTTATTAGAAGTAAATCACAGGTTCCTATAGCTCCATGGGAGTGACCACCTCAGTCCAGGGAAACTAGTCTATGACGAGTTGGGTAGTTGTCATGGCCTCAGTTGGCTTGCCATCTGTGTCACAGATTGTGAATACCAGGAGGCAGGGATCGTTGGGGACCATCTTAGCACTTGGCCTACTACACCTTCTTTTCAATCTCTAAGAACTTTTGCAACTGTAAGTGATAGCTCTGATGTTGAGTTCTGTTTAGACTTACCATGTAACCGTGGCTACATGGTTATAATAGGCTGTGGTTGCATTAATCTTTCTTTTACAATTACTTTTATACATATGGGCTGTAACATTTGACTTCTACAGTTTAGATGCCATTTAAAGGCTAAGATGGATAGTTTTTTTAAGCTTTTTTTTTTACTTCTTAACCATTCTTTAAAAGTATGCAGCTAAATTAGGAGCACTTGGAGTATCTGTCAATTACCATTGCTGTAAATCTTGAAAATGCTTCATTTCACATGACGAACATACGATACATATACAGTAGGGAAATAGATCTATAATATAAAAGAAATTGCCATCAACACTGGGTTTTTTGAGAATACTTTAAAAAAAAACCTTTGGTAGAAACCAAAGGGGAAACAGTTTTCATGAGGTTTGTACATTAAGATAATTATTAATAGAGAAATTAATTCTATCTTTACTACCTACTCAGAAGACATAAAGTCAGAATGCCTACCTGCTGGTACCCTTTATGCGATTCTCCCAGATGAAACAGCTCTGGGACTCCCTACCACATCTATCATCCCCTTGGTTCCTCTGCATCAGTCCGTAGCATCCTTTCTCCAGTATAGGTATGACTCTTGAAGAGGTGCCTTATGAAATTAACCTAGAATAACGGGAGATAATCCAAGCCTAAGAAAGTAAAGTCCCTTCAGAATGAAAGGAAGAAAACTCTCCAATGCACCATCCTTCCTTAAGTACAGCTTCTTTGGTAATCTTGCAGGTTGAGTTATCCTTAAACACGTGTTTCTAAGGAACTGAACAAAATGGTGTGTCATTGTGTTATTTGATATGGACAAAGTGGAAGCAGCACAAGTGTGCTAAGGAGAATTGTGGGTTTGTCGCATTGAACCTTGTTTTGTGACCATGACTTTTAGAGGAAGATGCTTGTGTTCAGTGAGGCATAGGGACAGATATCTAAAAGCAGGATCATTCCAGGAAGGGAGACCCTGGAAAGGACGGTGTGGGGCAGTTACGGCTTAGCCCTGTTGATGCCACATCAATTTGTTGTCTAGTAGAAGTTCATTCCTACGTTCCTTGACTTTTTTAATAAAATAAAGCTGTTACAATTTTCAGTAGCATTAGTAATTACAGATCTATGTTAAGCTCGCACACTTTGGCAGTTCTGTCGACAGAATCAAAAGTCACAGTTTCACTCTCTCACTAGCAAATATCTTCATAAAGTAAAGATAGTGAAAGTAGTTGTTAATAAAAACATTTGCTTCTGAAACTCCCTTGTTCTTCATTTGAGATATTGGTATGGGAAAATCAGACCTATAATTTGTTAAAGAGGAAGTCAGTATTGTTCTGTTTTCTACTATTTTTAAATGAATATATGCTAATACTTGCATATAGGTTTTTAAAAACTCAATTACAGAAGGATGTACAGTGAGATTTAAATCTCCCTCCCAACACAACTTCGCTTGCTAGGGACAATCACTATTAAAGGTTCTTGTGTGTTCTTTTGTATTGTAAGTGTAAAGTCTCAGCTGCTGTAACAAAGAGACCCAGCAATACAGAAGTTTATTCCTCCATCCCATAGGCCATGGCCTGAATGTTTGTGTCCTCTCAAATTCATGTGTTGAAACCTAACCCCCAAGGTGATGGTGTCAGGAGGTGGGGACTTTGGGAGGTGACTGTGTCCTAAGATCAAAGCCCTCATGAACAGGATTAGTGCCCTTATAAAAGTAGCCCAAGGGGCCAGCCCCATGGCCGAGCGGTTAAGTTCACGCACTCCGCTTTGGCGGCCTAGGGTTTCACCGGTTCGGATCCTGGGTGCGGACATGGCACTGCTCGTCAGGCCACGCTGAGGTGGCATCCCACATGCCACAACTAGAAGGACCCACAACTAAAAATACACAACTATGTACTGGGGGGCTTTGGGGAGAAAAAGGAAAAATAAAATAAAAAAAAAAGGTAGCCCAAGAAAGCTCCCCTGCCCCTTCCATCATGTGACATTACAGCAAAAAGATGGCTGTCTAGGGAGCCAGCCCTGATGGCCTAGTGGTTAAAGTTCAGCACACTCCGCTTCGGCAGCCCGGGTTCAGTTCCCAGGCGTGGAACCACACTGCTTGTCTGTGAGTAGCCATGCTGTGGCACTGGCAGCTCACATAGAACAACCAGAAGAACTTACAACTATATACAACCGCCTACTGGGGTTTTGGGGGGCGAAGAAGAAAAAAGGAGGAAGATTGGCAACAGATGTTAGCTTAGGGTGAATCTTCCCCTGGGGGGAAAGAAAAATTAACATCAGGAAATTTGGATCATCTTTAAAAAAAAAAGATGGCTCTTTAGGAAGCAGACTTTCACCAGACACCAAATCTACCAGCGCCATGTTGAACTTCCCAGCCTCTAGAATTGTGAGAAATAAGTATTTGTTGGTTATAAGCTACCCAGTCCCTGGTATTCTGTGATAGCAGCCTGAACGGACTAAGACATCCATAACAGTTCCAATGGGAATAGTTTGGTTTGGCAGAGCAGCTCTACCCTACATGGCCATTCAAGATCCCATGTTCCTCTCTCTTGTTGCTCTGCTGTCCCCTGGGGAATTGGTATCACCTGCATGGTCCAGGCTGGGTCACCCCTACACCTGGGTTCCCACTGGAGGTAAGAGGACAAATAACAAGGAAGAGCACTCAAACCAGTGTCTTAAGGCCTCCACTCAGTGCTGGCCCTTCCAGTTCTGCTCACCTTCCATTGGTGAGGACCTATTTGACTGCAAATAACCGCAAAGTATGCTGGGGAATATGCCCAGTGAAAAATCTATAACTGGAAGACAAGGAGAAGAGGTTTGGTGGACAGTTAGCAGTGTCTGCCACAACTTTTAGAAGTTTTCAGTGTGTACATCTAAGCCTTTAATTGCTCTTTTTTTTCTTTTTTTTTTTTCCGAGGAAGAGTAGCCCTGAGCTAACATCTGCTGCCAATCCTGCTCTTTTTGCTGGGGAAGACTGGCCCTGAGCTAACATCCATGCCCATCTTCCTGTAGTTACATGTGAGATGCCTGCCACAGCATGGCTTGCCAAGCAGTGCGTATGTCCACACCTGGGATCCAAACTGGCGAACCCCAGGCCACCAAAGTGGAATGTGCACACTTAACCGCTGCGCCACTGGGCCGGCCCCAGCTTTTAATTCCTCTTATACTCTAAAGGAGAAAACTTTAGAATACTGCTCTACATTTTGCTCTTTTCACTTAATATTCCTCAGAGTATATTTTTCTTTCTAATGGCTGCGTAGTAGCGCCTTGTATGCTTGTACCATAATGTATCCCCCAGCCCGCTATTGCTGAACATTTACATTACTTCCAATCTTTTGGTATTACAAATAATTCTATAATGCTTATGTCTTTGTGCTCAGATATACATATCTTTATAGAATAAAATGTTTAGTACAGTGATGCTCAAAGTGGTCTGTAGACTGATGCTGATCTGGACATTACTGGTTTGTGATAAGATAAATACAGAATTTGAGAGTTTTCGATTTGACATGGCCATGACATCCACTATCAGTGATTTGTGACAGGCTGGGAATTTTAAAAATCTGATCTTTCACCACAGATGGTTCGAGAGGTACTGGTCTGGAAGTGGAATTACTGGGTCAAAGGGCTAATGTATTTTACGTGTTTATAGATGCGTCCCAATTGTCCTGCAAAGTGCTTGCTCAAATGTACACTCCCACCAAGAGCCCTGGCAGAAAGATTTGAAGAACTGCAGAATCAAAGGAGAGTTGATGGTTGTCCTTTCCCAAAATAAAAGAGACCGTGCTCAGAGTCCATCTTGAGGAATTAGTAGAAGTGATCGATTTGGCATGGATTTGGCCCACCAATCAAAACATGCTCTAAGCGTGGTGCGTTGTAAAAGTCCCTAGCCCTCCTGGCAGTGTGGGGGCTGTTGGGAGGGAGGAGGGGGGATTAGGAAAGCATATTTAGCATATATAGCGCTTTCATAATCCAAACTACACAATGCAAAATTTCATACAGTGTTCTTGACTGATGGTCATCCATGGAAGGATGAGTGAGAAACCCCACGGGGAGGCACTGGTTGACAATCACCGAGATAAGCTTTACTCAGCTTGATGTGATGAATCCACTGAGTAATGACAGGGAAGAGAGTGTTACATGCTGGCAGGAGCGGAGAAGCCTAGAACAACAAAGATCTGACGTGTGGCCCTTGACAGATATTCATTTCATTGATTCTTCACATATTTGCTTTTTTACCTTATCTCTGGCCTGGAAAAAGAATGGATGCAGGACCTGGTTCCACAGAGCTTGAGAAGTATGCCTCCCTAATGCTGTCAGAAATCTATCTAACGTCTTCTTGGGGAAATGCTAGGATTCCTTTGCCCTGAAATCTACCTCGATATTAGAACTAACAGCTGAAGAACTTTGAAAACATTCTGCTCAGTGAAAGAAGCCAGAAACAAGAGACCACATGTTATATGATTCCCTTTATATGAAATGAACAGAACAGGAAAATCCACAGACAGAAAATAGATAAGTGGTTGCCTAGGGCTGGGGGGTTAGGAGAAAATGGGAAGTGACTGCTAATGGGCATAGAATTTCTTGGAGTGAGGCAAATCCTCTCAAGTTGATTGTAGTGATGGTTGCACAACCCCGTGAATCTACTGGCAGCCTTATTTCTCTCCTTTGCCCTTTTTTGGTGGCTTTTCAAGCATGGTCCCACCATGTCTGAAGCTCCTGGCATTTCCACCCTATACTCTTGAAGTCCTGTCTATCAGCTCACTTTGGTCCTCTGCTTTTTTCTCGGAGGTGGTCGAGATTTCCCAGATTTCTGTTTGGCACTGATCTCTGATTGTTGGCCTCTGTAAAGAACCCTAAACGACAGAAATTGGGATGCCCAGTTCTGGTCATAGCAAAGGAACTGGGTGACTCTGGGCATATCACTCCACCTTTCTGAGCATGACTTCTCATTTGTAGAATAAACTAAATGGTCTCCAAGCTATTTTCACATATTATAACCATATTAGTTTCTTAGCACCACCACAAAAAAGTACCACAAACTCAGTGGCTTAAAACAATAGAAGTTTATTTTCTCCCAGTTCTGGAGGCCTGAAGTCTGAACTCAGGGACTGAAATCTGCAGGGCCTCGCTGCCTCTGAAACCTGTAGGGGAGGGTCCTTCTTTGCCTCTTCTAGCTTCCGGTGTTCGATGGCAATCCTTGGTGTTCCTTGGCTTGTAGCTGCCTCACTCCAATCTCTGCCTCTATTGTCACATGGCCTTCTTCCCTCTACATCTCTCTCCTCTTCTTATAAGGACACCAGTCGCATTGGATTAAGAGTCCATTCCTCCTCCAAGATGGCTTCATCTTAACTAATTACATCTGCAACAACCCTAGTTCCAAATGAGGTCACATTCTGAGGTACTGGGGGTCAGGACTTCAACATTAAATTTTGGGGAGACACATTTCAACCCACTACAACAACCATGGCTTTTCCTCTTTAGAAATTACTCAGAACTCCATCAAAGTTGAAAATACCCTTGTGAATGGGAAAGCCATTTATGATAGTTGGAAGAATAAAAGCAATTTTCCTCTCAGCTATTAATAAAGCTATTACAGTGAGGTGGCCAGGTTTCCACCGTCATTATCCTTGACCTTAAAGCCATAGTAGTAGCCCTTAGTTCCAATGAGTAACAAAAGGAGGTCGCACAATTGTGTTCTCTTCCTGTCCGCCCTTGAGTGCTTTGAGGGAGTGGGGAATTGGTGAAGCCCGTGTCTTGCTCAGCAATCATGTTGTAGTCTTGGAGGAACGAGGCAAGGGATCACTGTGTTTTGAACCTGAAGGGCGTATCTCCGGACTTCCTACGCCAATGGCCCAAAATGGAAAATGGTCTTTACAAATGTCCCTCCAGTATGCAAAGGGAAGAGACTAGATTTAACATTCATACGCTATTAACAGAAAAACAAAAACAAATGAAAAGCCCACTTATGATGCAGAATATTGCCACTGGGGAGCTGTTTATTATCAGAGCCTTTTTATTTCTTTTCTAGTGAGAAATGCATTTCTAGGAGTGGAGAGAAAAGACCCCTCTATCTTATCGCCCAAGTCTTCCTCTCCGTTGATGTTATGCCTGGACTATTTTAGGGATAACTCCCTCGTTACCTCAGTAATGATGACACCAGAAGTTCAGAGATGATCAAGAGTAATGTGTGGGTTTACAAGAAAAGCTCCAAACGCAGTTGCCCAAGCCAGAAGCCTGAGGCTCATTGCTGACTCTTCCATCTCACTCCCACACCCAACAATTTATCAAGCACTCTTAATTTGACCTCCTAAATTTCTCTCCCATCTATCCTCCATCTCCACCTCCATCATCAATACCCCTTGTCCAAGCTACCAGCATCTCTCATTGGCTTCCTGGTATTCACTCTGGTCCCTCCAATTCAGTTCCAGCAGCCAGAGTGATTCTCGTAAAAAATGTGACTTTTGAATTAAGTTTAAAGTCTTAACTCCTGAACAAGGCACACAAAGCCTGTGACCTCCCGTTTGCCTGCCCCTCCGGCCTCCACTCCAAGTACCCACA